TGACACCAAAATTCTGGAACTACCTCCTGATGGAGCTGCACATGGACCCCCTCCCTCCCAACATTTAAGAAGCTTCTAAAAATGGCTATTTAGAGAAGCCTTCTGTGACAATACTGCCCACGTTGGCTTTAAAGAACCTTAATAAAGGAAGAGACAGATCTTGAAGTTTCTTTTACACTCTTTGCGCCTGGACAGAAGAGGCCAGCAGGTCATCAGAGTCCTGTCCTTTCCGGTGAGATGTTCTAGGTTTCTCCTAAAACAATCACAATTGTCTTAACAGGTGCAGCTGTATATATAAATTATCATACATAACAAGGGTAGGATAGCTGTCTTCAGGTATCTGGGTGGTGTCTTATGAAAGAGAGAGCCAGATGGCTTTCCTGCTGCTTTAGATGGCAGGACCAGAATTTGTGGATTCAAATTTTGTGGAAAGAGATTCCGACTGTGCATTAAGACCTTCCTGACAATAAATAATAGTGACTTGACAGGGGAGAAAAATTACTTTGGAAAGCAGTTGGGCTCTGCTTCATTTGAGGAGCCTTGTAATGCAGTGGTTAAACTACAGTACTGCAGTGAAGACTTTGCTCACAACCTGAGTTTGATCCTAATGCACTCAGGTAGCCGGCTTGAGGTTGACCTTCCGAGGATGGTAAATTGAGTACCCAGCTTGATTTTGTTGTTGTTGGTGGGGCAATGTGTAGCCTGCATAATTAAATTGTAAATTATCCAGGGAGTGCTGTAATCCCTATGGGTTTATAAAAAGGGCAAAGGGCAAATCTACCAGAGCATCTTTAATTGTGGGCTCCTGCGTTGGCAAAAGGTTGGACTGGATGGCCTTTGCGGTTCCTTCCAACTCTGTAGCTCTCCGATTCTCTGGTTGGCGTGTTCTCTGTGGTTTGGACTCTGTATTTCCTCTTTTGGCTGTTATGTAAGAAGCCGCTCCGTTCTCTCCGAGCTGCGCAGTGTTTTCTTGGTGGGTAAGTTTTGGGAAAAGGGGTTCCTCAGATGACAGAGACTTGAAAATCCCAACGGGCAGCTAAAAATCCCTGCCCTTGCGTTGTCTGGGAAAACAGAGGTGTCGAAATGGGTAGTGATTTCATCAAAACGTTCCTCTGGGTTTCACTCCAGTTGTGGGGAGAGGGCTCTCGAGCCAAATACTGTGGCACTGGTGGGTAGTTTTGAGGTGGCGGGGATAGGTTTTGATTTGAAGAAGCAGCGGTCAGCAGTTGCGTTCGGACAAAGTCTTACGTCAAAGTGGTGAAGCTGCTGTGTGTAGGGTTTTTTCCCCCTCTGTCACAACCGTACAGACACCTTACTGGTTTTTACTCCTTCAGAGGAAATAAATTGCTGAACAGGACTCATGTCGTATAACTCATGATAAGCATCTGACAACTACCTCACTTAACTGCTAGGATTTTTATACTGGGTGTTTACAACCAGCGTCAGTAACGTAATGGTTATTCTCTACATCTAATTGACTCCTTGGAAAAAACCTTGATGTTAGGAAAGTGTGACGGCAAGAGGAGAAG